CAGGGTGACGGTGTGGGGTGTGTGCCCCTCGCCTGCTCACCCTGCCTGGGGACGCCCCTGTCCCCAGCACCTCCCGCCCCAGTGGCCCCAGTCCTGGGGAGCTGCAGAGCGAGGGTCTTGGGGGGCCGTGCTCCTGGGGGGCTGCAGAGCTGGGGTCCCGGGGGTGTGAGCAGTGATGCACTTCACTCATAAGAGAGAAATAGCGATACGTTTTATTGAGGTAAGACAGTGATTTAACAAAGTTCAATCGTAAATAAGAGTGGTTTAACGAGGGTCGATGGCAAGGTTCGCTCGGTTATTTACTGCCTGGAGGACAGGGTCAGACGAGAGCGTCCAGCAGACCCTCCCGTTGAGTCCTGATGTTCAAAGTGGACCCCCTTGCTTTCCAGACTCCTCAGAGGAGTCTAGGTGCAACTGGATCCAGTCTTAGTCCCAGGCTTGGTCAACAGTTTATGTCTAAGGATTACATGCACAATGAATCTGAGATCAGCTTAGCAAAGTTTGAGCACACTATTAGTCACTTACCGAGGATCTGTCGCGGGCGAGGAATCTCTCGCCCTGGAGGACTGACCTTGACAGGCATCCCTGCTCACGAGGAGATCCTGCTGTGCAGCCTGCTGCTGCGCAGGAGAGCTCAGCGGGCTCTGGGCCGCCCCCTATTTATGAGGTAAGATGATTGACTCCTAGTCATATTTGCATACTAGACAGATTTTAGTTGGCGCGTGCTCAGTTAGCCCCTGGCCATGTGCTGTTTATGGAGAGGTCAGGTTGGGGAAGGGGGAGGAAGAGCACGCCGTCCCAGGGGGGCCGGGGTCCTGGGGGGCTGCACAGTTGAGGTCCTATGGAATCAGTTCGACCCTAGGTTTCTGAGGAGCAGAGTCTCATGCACGTATAACAGCAAAATTAATTATTTATTTAAATGATATTACAGCGCAGTAACAGCTCGAGTTGGGTGCCTCCAGAGAGGGACCCCAAACAAAGAAATTCTGGGGTAATTATACCCTTTACAGTTTTGTTTTCCTGCCTGCTAGTGAAGGTCTCCTCCAATCTTTTTACTGAGTCAGTGGCCTGTCTCCTCCTGATTGGTGTCTGTCTCCTCCTGATTGGTGTCTGTCTCCTCCTGATTGGTGTCTGTCTCCTCCTGATTGGTGTCTCACTCCTTCCGACAGGTCCTGGCCACATCCTAGGCTGGTTGCCATTGTTTCTCGCAGTCCCTTATCTTCTCAAAGGTCAACCACAACCCAGGTGTATCCCATCTTGTCTCCTGCATTCTACTTTGTATCCTCATTAACTAATTTTGTATCTTTGTTAGCTAGTTTTAATTGGTTTTGCAGCTACAACGTTGGCCATGTCACATCATCAGCAATGTTTCTGGAGTGTGTTGACAGTTCAGCCTTGAGTCCTGCAGGCTTCATCTACTTTAGGCACTTACGCTAAGCAAGAGTCAGACTTACGCTAAGGTGAAGCTAAATTGGCTACAATTTCCTTCTCCAACAGTCCTGAAGCTAAATCAGTTACAATTTCCTTCTCTAACATTATGGGGTAAGATGATTGACTCCTAGTCATATTTGCATACTAGACGGATTTTAGTTGGTGCGTGCTCAGTTAGCCCCTGCCCATGTGCTGTTTATGGAGAGGTCAGGTTGGGGAAGGGGGAGGAAGAGCACGCCGTCCCAGGGGCTGTAGAACTGGGGCCCTGGGGGTTGGAGAACTGGGGTCCTGGGGGGAGTTGGACAAGTCTAGGTCCTGGGGGGGCCGCACAGTTGGGGTCCTGCGGGCCATAGAGCTGGGGTCCTGGGGGGGGAGGAATGGACAGTGTGGGTGCTGGAGGGTTGCAAAGCCTGGGTCCTGGCACCCCCACCCAGTGCTGAGCTGTTTGTACTGGCCAAGCAGTAAATCGTGGTTTATGGCTGGTTCCTCGTGACCAGCTGGTGCTGGTGGGAAAGCAGGTTTACAGGAAGCTTTATGACAGCAGGTCCAGAGAGCAAGGTGTGAATCAGCAGGGAGCCCAAAGCCAGGAGGCGGGTGCGTCCTTGGCACATGCTCTAGTGATCCTGCAGGGTTTTTTCCCCTCCTGACCTTCGGGGAATCTGTTGTCAGCGCACCTTGGTCCTCCTCGGCCCTGCCATGAGTTGCCTGTAACCTCCGCACAGGCGACGTGCTGCTTCCCTGCTCCCGGGTCAGGGCTGGGGTTCAGGGCTGGTGGACAGAACGTGGCCTTCCTCCCGAATCCGCGGTTGAGCGCAAGGCCGGTGAGCTGCAGGACAGACCCCAAGCAAATCCCTGAGCCCCGAGATGTACTGAATCGCGGATGCCCTCCATCCTCCTGAGTACGTGAGTCCAGGGCAGGGTGGGACTGGCCTCCAGGCCTCTACTGTGACCGTACAGCGCCGCGCACCACGGGGAGCCGATCCACAGCCAAAGCAGCGCCCTGCAGCTGTCGGTACCTGCAGCCGGGCAGGGCAGGCTGCCCTGACCCCTCCCTGAGCCAGGTGAGCCGAATCCCACCTCTTTTCCAGTTCCTTCCTGTTTTTCTCAGTGCTCCGTCTGTTCTCAGAGCTCAGCTTCTCCAGGCTACCTACTCATGCCCTAGAAATAAACTCCCCCTGCGGGAAGGTAGGAGGCGAAACGTGCCCCAGCTGCCTGGGGAGGAGAAGTGATGCACGGAAAGGCTCGGCTCCCTCCCTGCTCGCGGGGAGTCTGGGTGTGGGGGAGCTGGCGCAAGGTGGGTGATGCTGCTGGGGCGCGTTTAGCTCTGTGCCGGGTGTTGCGCCGGCTGTCAGCTCTGGCCGGGCTGGGGACGCGGGTGCTGCTGCTTTGGGGGCAGCCGGTGTGCGGTACTGCTACCAAGGCCTTGAGAGAGTGATTTTGCGCTTGATCCCATGGGCTGTGACCCACTGCTGGAGCCAGCTGCCCCTGCGGTCTCTGGCCCCATCCCTGTTTTTTTCCCCTTTCCACCAGGCATCAGGGTGTCCCTGGTCCGGGGCAGCGCAGGCAGGAGCGTTTGCAGCAGCCCGTGGG